CGCGGGCCCCGGGCGCGTCCCCCGGGCCACCGTCGCCGCCGCCTGCCGGATGTCAGTCTGCGGGCCCCAGAGCACCCCGCCCCGGCGTCCTCCGCGCCCCGCTGGGACTCGAGAGAAGGGGCGATCGGTGCTCCGTCTGGACAGCAGAGAAAGGGGCGCAGACCCCGGCCCCGGCCCCCTAAGCCTGTGGTCTCAGCCCTCAGGCCCACCCTCGCTGCGACTCTTCCCTGCCAGTTTGCGCTCGTTCAACTCGGAGAAATGAGTGGCCTCTGAGGACTGCTGGGGACGAAAGCACCCCGGGTGTTTTCAGTTGCGCGAGCCGCTGAGCCAGGAGCTTGGAAAGATCCCCGAGTGGCTTTTCCCTCCGCCCGGCCCTGCGGGTCTCTGTTGGGCTCGGAGGGTAGAGCCTTGCATTACCGCCTGCAGGGGAGCCGCGAGGGCTTTCCAACTTAGCAGCTTTACCACTTTGGTAAGAACATCTGGTCAGATTTTAATGTTTGGGGTGCAGCGCAAAGCCTCTCCCCTCTGACTCGACATCCTTCTTTATAAATGTTATAAAGCAAACCGTCGTAGCAGCCTTCTGCCACCCGAACGTCCCAGTTCTTTGCTCCTGCTGGGTTCTGCTTTCCCCTCACGTGCACTGGGTCCCTGGTCGCTGACATCTCGCCAGAGTCGTCGCGGGGTGGAAGCCCTGAATTGAATATAGTTGGCCTGACCCAGGCCTCCCCAAAGGCTATTTTGTTCAACTTCGGGTTCGGGCAGTCGGTGGGAAAAGGAATGCCAGTTTTCCTGGACGGAGGGGAAATAGTTATCGGCTAATGTCACTGGAGATTGGAGAAGTGTCCGTCCTTCAGAATGGCACCCTGGCCGCGCTCAGCTCTGCGCTGTTGGCTGGGCCTGCACAGAGGCAGGGAGACCGCTCCGACGATGCGGGGACCAGGCGCTGTGCTTGCTGATCCGCTCTCCTAAATAAATGGGTGCCATCTCGAGGGGACGGACGGGCAAGAGTCTTCCTCTCTGTATTGCCAGTGCTTCTTATCATAGCCTTATTTATTTATTTATTTATTTATTTTTGGAGAGGTTTTTGCTATAGGGCTCCTGCGCTCGCCAGAAAGAGAGAGACAGAGAGATAGAAAGCAAGAAATCACCCCCCAGGGGGGATGGCCACGCCGCAATCCCTTCTCCTCCATTCTCCTCTCAGGATCTTGGGCACGCACACAAAACGCCCTGTGTAAGTTTAAACCACCGGGTCTGGGACTCGAACCTACATGGGACTGCATGGGAGTCCAGCGACATAGCCATTACACCAGCTGCTGGTCCCTATCGGAGCCATTTGTGTAGTTTACCTCCCAACTCTCTTCCTTATGTTCATCTACAGAGACTGGCCTAGGCAGGAGCCATATTCACAACCAATGTCACTGATATTTTCTGGAACGGGCCCCCACAGGCTGTAGAGGTTAAGGTGGCTGGATCCCACATGGCTGACCATGGGGATCGAGTGCCAGTGGGCGTCTTGAAAATCACATCGGCCAAGCGTGGTACATGCCTAGAATCCCGAGAGGACGATGGAGAAGGGATTGTGGCGTGGACCATCCACATGCCTCAGCCGTGATTTCTTACTGCTCCCTCCAGCGCATGCACCTTATAGTGAAACATTTTTTGAAAATAACTTTTTTTCCAGGGACTGTCAAGTGTTATGAGTTGGGAACTGGTTAGTACAGCCTCATTGGCCACCCCCACCCAGCAGGTGATGGTAAGGAAGAACTGAGGTGGGACTCAGACTTCTGTACTGCTGTGAAACACCCAGTGAGTGTGACAGGAGAGGTCCACGAACCTGCTTTAAGGTGTGCCACTTGGCCATCTTCCTATCTGGATTCAAACAGCCATGAGAGGCTCGGTGTGGGCACGTGGGCCAGGTTGGCAGCAAGGGATTTCAAAATATACCCCCAGAGTAGTTGCTGCGACAGTCAAAAAGTGACATCTGTGGTCCAGCCCAGAGACTATGGAAGATGTAAAGGAATATAATAGTAGGTAAATCTTTTCCCCTTAAAGGGCACAGTGAAAAATAAATAACTTGCTTGAAAGACAGTTGGAATCTTCTAAATCCACTCTCAGGATCATCTTGTCTAGACCTCGATAGGACACGCAGAGGCCCACAAAGACCACAGAATAATGAACCAGTAGTGTTTAAAGATTGAAATCATTTTATTACCTTTGTATTTTTCGATACAATTTTGTGTGGTTGATCACGCTGCGATACTGTGGACAGCATTAGCTTCTAATACAGTGTAATAGTTGATATCATAAATAGCATTGGGAAAGAGGAATCCAAGAATAACAGCTCATCCCAGGATTTATTCTTAATCTTACATTGCGAAGATTTAGAGGCAACAATTCTTTGTAAACCTCATATTTGTGTTACATGTCTAGTGGAGTGGTTTTGGACTAGAACTCTGATCTTTCCAGTAACAACCCATATGACTTTAGCCAATGACTCTAAGACAGTTGTATCAGTGTAATTTGCTCCCATTTTCTCATCCATACGAGGGGACAACACAGTTCTTCGTTACTGCATACAATGATGAGATTAATATGAGATAGCATACAAGAGAATCCTTTGAAAAATGCATAAAACTGTAATGTATTATTCATCTAATAGGCCATGAAAATGTATGATCAAATGTTTGTAAAATTATTCCAGGTGAGAATGACAAGGAATTGCCTTTTAAGATGAATGCAAGGCAACCAATCAAGGACAGTTATAGTTTAGGGACATTCTGGAACTGGGATGAGAATAGATACAGAAAAATAAAATGATTAAAATAATGGTATTTCCCTTTTTAAAAAGATGTTTTAGGCTCAACTTGTCCATTTCCTAATATTCCTTTGAAGGTGCTTGTAAGAATAAAAATATATGCATTTTTGCAAAGTCATTAACTAGCAAATATACATAGCATGTTTCTGTCATTCTTTTAAATTACCTTTTAGTTGTCGGTTCTCTGTATTTACATTTTTAAAACTATCTTGTGCAACTACCATGGTGAGAACACAAATATTTATAATGAACTAAAATTTCTGCCAGACTGGAGACTGTCCTGGATGTGCATACTAATCTTTTGACATTTTGGTAATTCTTTGATTTTTGCCAATATGAATCTGTTATTGAAAGAGCAATTCAACCTACCCACTGAGTCGTTCCGAGCCAGTCACTCTGCGACACCAGGCTGGGAATACAGAAGGGCATTTCATTCTTTCTGAATCCTGAAACATGAAAATAAAATAAAATCTTTGAGCTGGGAACTGTGTTGAAATACATAAACATCTGAGAGTCGGTGACTCAGATTGTTAGTCACAGAGTCACTGGTAGAATCTGGATGACATCCACTGTGGACAAAGGCCAGTAATAATGAGGATGATATTTTGCTTTTCCATAGTACTGAACAAAACACTGCACAAATGTTAAAGCACAAAGGAAAGAATGGCAAGATATTTCTCCTCCAAATATTCAGGCTAAGGAAGACTCAGGCCACCTTCAAGTAATTTTTTTTCCTTCTACATAAATACAAAAGAAATGTAGTTGCAAATAACTGTAACAAAAACCAACTTAAGCCGAAGCCTCATTAGTATTCAATTAGCATAGTAACCCTTCTTTCCAGGCTTCTCGGTTGAAGCAGACTGGATCCAATGTGCAGTCTTAGAGTAAAGAAAATAATGGCTTCATATTAGTTCTTACAAACACAAGCCAGAAGCTACACTCAGAGTTATGTTTTGCATTTTTACATTCGGTAGTAATGACCCTTCCACTGAAGAACGCACCGAGGGTATATTCTCTCCTCCTACAGAAGTGTCAGGCATGGGCAATACCATCAGTGCTAAGTACTGGGCTGCTTCTAAGATCTCCTCCCACTATCTCCCCATCTGACCGGAACAGGAATTGGAGCGCTTCAAGTAAAAGAATAATGTGTCCATGTGTTCCTCCAGATCACAGAGTCCTGGCAGCCTACCTCGACTCTCTTGGCCACCATAAAGCAGTCATTGAAAGGACACAGCTGCAGGAACTAGGAGCTGAGCACTAAATAAATCCACAGGGTTGGAGGCAGAAGTCCATACATGACCCTGACACAATACTCCGTGGTTATGAATGAACGGATTAGCATCTAATGGCGCTGCAGCAGCTTATGCAAAATTAATTGGTGCCTCAGCCAGTGCCTAGTTTCTAATGGAAAGATGTCCACTTCAAAAACAAATCAAAGCAAAACAAAAAACCCACGCTGGAGAACTCCCTAGTTGACAACTTTGGCTGGTGTTGCGGGGAGACTAAGGACTAACTGGAATGGGAACAGAGCTCTTCATCTTCTTAGCTGTGTGTGGGTCTCTTCAGACCAGAGTTGATGTACGCAAGCACTGGCAATGTCTCAAGAACTGATCCACTCATTGCCAGGTTCTGAGTTGCATTTTAGAGT